TAAATGTCACCGCAGGCCCTCCTACTGGTGACATTAGAAAGCCATCTTTCATCAGAATCTTCACCCAGCTCTGACTGGCACAGCATTTCCTAGCCAGCGTTTTCAGCTCTCAGTTCTGAACTATTAATTCAGGCAACCTAAAAAGACTTCTTTAGTTACAGGAGCCCTTGGGTTGCCTTTACATTTTAGTACCAAAAATCATTTTGATCACATCGATCTCTGGGTTTTGAGAGGATGTACTATAAGCAACACCCACCTAGTCAACGAGGATAACAAAGTTAAGCCTGATTTTCAGCAAATGTTTATGTTGTTGATCACAACCATGCATGCTGAAGTGCTTCTTATTCAAAAGTAAAGGCCAACATTCCCATGGGTTTTAAAATGAGATCTTGAGAAATAAATATAAACCCATCACACCACCACCACCACCTAGCAATGCGTTTAGGTGCTGAGATCCATGTTCTCTTTTTAAAAATAAACTGTGGGCTCCTTATGGGCAGGAACTACGGCTCGGGCTCCTTCATATGGTTTCGCTAGTGACTGGTGACTAACAGGTTTGGTGCAAATGATAGCTGAACTGCTAAGGGGATAAGACTACAAGGGCAGAGGAGCTACTGAATGTGAGATGGAGCACGAGAAACAAGCCCCCGATCCCAGGCAGCATCCAGGGGTCTTACCTCGGCCCCCAGGGAGATGCTACGCAGCTCCTTTCCTATGGGCCTAGCCAGCAGGACACCTGCTTCTGCCCAGCGTGACCCAGGGAGACAGGCTGCTGCGAGGGTGAGCATGAACTCCAGGAAATGCAGGAAGACGAGGAATTCTCCCCGGTTAGTTACAGGCAGCCCAAAGGCGGAGAGCTGTCAGCAGGTGATGGGGACTCCGGCACTACTTCCGCCTCCCACCTCCAGCTGCCCGCGAGGGGGCAGTGGCTGCAGGACGTTTGGGGACTGAGGCAAGGGATGACAGGCGGAGGAGGCAGGATTCGCTGCTATTCTCTGGAGACTGTCAAGTGACAGGGTCAAGTGACAGGCAAGTGCAGAGTGCGCACGTCCAGGCCGTCAGGATGAGCCTGTCCTTCCCAAGACACTGGCAGTACTCGGGCAACAGTTCCAGTCGGGGAATTAAGGGGCGTCTACCATGGCAGTGTGCTTATGCTGATGTTAAATCCTTCAGAAGTGTTCCGTTACAAACATTTCCTGTCCTATTACATCCTGAGTAGATTCTCCTTTGAGCACAGGGATGATGAAGTCACTTGAAGCCCTGTCAAAATCAGCAGAATTAAAGCTGCCAAAACAAACCTTTTTAGTCAGAGATGTATTTCTGTGACACCAGATTTATTCCACATGGCTGACCACTACTTTCTGGGGTACGGGCCCAGATCCAACAAACGCAAGGGATTTAGGGATTTTGCTTTTGTTCTACAGCGGAAATACCCAGCACTCGCTTGTGCCGGGGAAGGAAACCATCTCCTCCAGTGGTGGATACAGCAAGCTCCGAAAACTTCTCACAGAGCCCCTATTGGACCTGTATTTGCAGATCTCCGTTTTCCTTGCTATAGAGAGCCCTATCCGGTCCTCATCACGCCCAGGAAGTTTATATTTGTAATCCCATGAAAAGTTATTGGAATTTTAGCGAGTTAATTCCAACCCACCACTTCCAGTGCCACCCATGGCGAGAATAAAGGCACTAAGGTGTGTCTGTACTTATGGTGAGCCACGGGGTCCTAAGTCCTGCCATGATGATGGCTAGCCAAAACAAGGGCCTATCCCCAGGACCAAACCCAGACTTTATTTATTTGTGAAGAAGGATGCGTGACTGTGAGAGGGCGGGAAATACGTGCGTACCATGAGCTGGGCTAGGTAGGGGGCCTAAAATGACCTCTGTCATATGCAGAGAAAAGGACATGCAGAAAGGGTAACCTGTATAACTCAACTGAGACAGCATCTAATGTTTTGGGGTCGGTGCTTTAGCTCTGATGTGTAATCCTTAAAGCCCCAGGAAGTCAGAGCCTCTATTCCTGAGGCTCAAGGCTCAGTCCCAGCGGATAGCGCGGAGCATTGGCTCACACATCCTGCCTCATCTGGCTCACTCGGGGGAGCAACAGGGGGTCAGGGAAACACGCCCACCATCTCCAAAGATTACCACCAGCACCTCGGTTAGACAGATATGCATTGCTTAAACTCAACTGAAGGGATAAGGAAAAGCCCTAGCCAGCTCAGTACATATCAATACATGGAAACAGGGTCAGGCTCAGCCAAAACGGAGGCAACTGCTCCTCTTTTAAGGAGAGTTGCCTAGGTGGTCCTCCACACTTGCTTCGGATCAGTACCCTGGTTCCAACTGGCACGGGGGAAAGTACGAGACCCGGGAGTATAAACCGTAGCAGAACTCCTGTTCAGGTTCAGAACATGGTCAGCTCCCAAACCCTGGGCTAACAGGCCCGGAAGTGCACCGAACAGTAAAGATAAGTGCTGGGCAGGCAGCTCGGGGTGAGGACTCTAGAGCCCGCTACAGCACCCCCCTTATGTCCCTGAGATGGCCTTCAGCTTTCTGCTTCTGCTTCTGCTTCCCATTTGCTCACTCTGGCAAGCACCTCCCCTCTGCCCGAAGGCCACTCTCTGAAGGCCACCCGGAGAATTCCTAGTGGCCCTTTTACTCCAGCTCAATGGGGTTTCCTTGGGGAGTTTCTCGGTAAAACCTGCATCCTCCACTCCCTGCATCACAGAGCTAATTATCCCCTGCACTAGCTCCTGCTACCTAGCACTTCTTTCTGTGATTCCAGCTACACGCTGTATAGTAATTATGTGTTTACACATCTGGCTTCCGGAACAGATGGTGAGACTTTGGACCCAAGTTAATTATTATTATTATTTTATTACATTCCCAGCACCAGTGTGTTGTCTAGCTCTTAGGAGCCATTTAATACATCTTTGATAAACAGGAAAAGAGGTTTTAAGTTCATAATAGCATTTGATTTTTCTTCTGATAATATTTTCCTGTTGTCCCTTTAACCATGTCACGAATGCTGTCTTTTTTTGAGTCTCTATGCAAACCATTCTTTTCTTTTCTTTTTTCATTTTTTATTTTGGTAGTACTGAGGATGGAACCCAGGGCCTCATACACTCTAGGCAAGCACCCTACCACGGAGCTATACATCCAGCCGCAGACTGTCCTTTTCTCTCTAACTCATATCAAAAGGAGGAAAGGTACGGTATATATTATTCCAATACGCTGTTTACAGTAGGCGCACAAATTTTGCTATAGTCTGTACACAGTGATATGCCAATAAATAAAACAGTTAAGCCACAGAGAAAAGAGGAACTAGAAACGGGAAGTCCTAAGAATCGGTTGCATGTACCTTGTTGTTGCACAGTTCTTTCTTATAGTTCATATTCAGTGATTTATTTAGAAATAACTAAATCTCATACATGTGCCTTACTCAGGTTTTACTCAAGACCTGCCCTGAGCTCTAATTATTACAATCATATTTTACTACAGCCCAATTTTCTACACATTTGTAAATAGGTCTCCTTTCACCAATCACAACACTGCACAGAAGAGCTGAGAAGTGTACGTATTCTGAATTTTAGAACTAGACTGTGACTGCACATTATCTCTCCTTCAAGCTACGGTGCTCTTTTTTCATCACCGTGACGGGATCTGATGAATGAGCTTGTACTCTTTGCCCATTTTGTTCAGATGGTGATTGTGACTCATCCGAAAAGACTGAAACCCTGTGGGCTGAATTATATGTGCGTGCTCAGGGTCAGGCACTATGATAACAGTGATCTTTAATAACACTAATTAAATTATACAAAATCACACACTGGATAATTAATTATTTGGAAGGCCACGCTGTCACCGTATTCAATTCCAGTGATCTTGTCCTTGTCTTAAGCCCTTTTTTTCCCCTTTTGTGGTACCAGGGCATTGAACCATGGAAGTACTGAGCTATACCCCCAGCCCTGTCTGTCTGTCTGTCTGTCTGTCTATCTATCTATCTATGTATTTTGAGGCAGGGTCTCATTAAATTGCCAAAGCTGGCCTTGAACTTGTGTTCTTTCTGCCTCAGCCTGGGATTACAGGTGTGCACCATCATGCCTGACTTCTAAGTAGTCTTTTTAATAATAATGCCAATCACTACATAGGTCAGTCAAGCTGCTAACAGGGGTTTTGGGAATCTAGTCAGCATTATATGAGCTAATATGGCAATGAGCTTTCAATATAAATCCATGTTTTTGATGCTCTTAACATGTTCATGGCAGGGCTGTAATCTGTACGCCTCACTGCTGGGAGGCTCGGAGCCACTGGGGGTACATGTGTGACTGTCCCATCAGGTGATATGGGACAGCTCCATGTGGTGGTACAAATCACCCGAAGGGGTAGTCTGCATGTACCACAGTGGCTCAAGCCAGTGGGAACATGTTAAACCACAAAGCAAGAGCCTCCTAGAAAAGTTTTCAGTTATATTTTGATGGAAAAGGTGCACTAAAACGAGGGAAAGAACTTGAGTCAGGGTACTTGAGCCAAGATTTAGAAGCTTCATGGAGAATAGTCATATGACTATAAAGCTCCAAGTACAAACCACCAGCTGTAATAAAGATAACTGGGGATAAAACAATTATGAAAATAATATTCTCCCAATAACTACAGCCAACCTAAAAAAAAAAAAAAAAAAAAAAACCTAGACCTTTGAAATATAAGCCCTTTTTTAAAACCACTTTTGGATGCCTGTGCTTATGACTATACACAGGGGGTTTATAGAGAGCTCTTTGTTTAATCACAAGGGTGTGGGTCAAATCCTGCCTGTTTGGCTCAACGCAGAACAGCACTCTAGGTAACTGAAGAACCAGCACCCTTGACGTCATCTCTTCCTTGACAACCACTTCACAATCGTGTCATGGGGCCCCGCCCGCCCTTGGCAGAATCCTGCTGATGCCTTTTACCCAGATGCAGTGCGGCGAGGTGCAGAGACAACCCCATGCCCGCTGCTAACTCACCTTGGAGAACTTCCATGGGGAGCACAGTCCAGGCATTTTCCAGGTAGGAGATATAAATATAGCGAGCTGTATTGCAGGCCAGGCCAATATACAGAACCCTGAAAGAAGCAAAGGAAAGTAGATCAAAGCTACAGCAGGAAGCAAAAGCCATCCAAATATTTTCTACTGTTGTTTCCCCTCCTCAGACCATCCATCACTGAGCAGACAGTTCCAAACTTAGGAGCAGGAAAGCTAAAGGACAAGTAAATTTAATTGTTAATTTAGGAACAAGAAGACAGCTTCCAACACACCTGCCCTCAGCCTTTCCCAGTTGCTTAATATAAGGCGAACATTACCTTTCCTGAAACTTAACTAGTAGCAGAGACGATGGCTTTTCTAAGATAGTCTGGGCACACTGCCATCTATAATGACATTACTGGCTTCCTTCCAGGTGGCTGTAGGGTAAATATGCCTGGGAGTGTAGCCACTGCCCAACGATGGGGGAAGGATGGGATACAAATTAGAACATATGAACACAAATGTGGCCTCACTTATAATACCCACGACACCACACGGTTTTACAAGGAGACTCTCAAGTTCATTGAAAACTGCCATCTAATGATGATAAATCAGGAACCATTTAGAAATAAAATACTTTTTCCTATCTGTTCAGTTGATACATGTTCACTGTTGTTAAGAACATACACCACATGCTTAAAAAACTAATAAATATATATTTACCTCCTGATTCCCCCAACTCCCAACATTACGACCACCAAAACTCTAAGTATAACCAGAATAAGCGAGGGCCTGGAGAAGGGCTCCGCGCATAGGGTTACAATCTGGCATTCTGAACTGGAAAGGTGGGTTGGCTTGGAAGCACATGGCTGCTGCTTCTTGCACAAAACACTGATGGTAGAATTTCTCTTTCTCGATTGTCTTCCATTTTTTGGCTCATTTTCTTAACCTTCATGCTTTTCTTCTTTTCTGAGTCCAAACAGATGAAAACCAGAAGGTAAAAGAAATCAGCCAACATGACAGTAGTAGTATCCTAATTTTGCTCAATTATATTTTTATATTAAACTCACTCATATAAACACTGTTTGTTCTGTTTTTCCAACTTTGAATCAAGGAAAAGAAATGTTCTCAGGCACCGAGATGGCATTAGTCATAAGTATGGGGAAAAGACAAAAGGGGGTGGTGGTGGTGGTAGGAAGAGCTGGGAAACAGAGATTAAAAGGGACTTAGGTGATCCTCACAGAAGTATTAAAAAGGCCCGGGTTGTCCAGTTCTATGGCCATTATATCCTTCAAACTTGTGTCATCTGATGAAAAAATTTACGTTTTACTCTTTGATAAAAATTTTATTGAATGCACTTGTTACTGACCCATCAACTTCCCACTGCTAGGAAAAGGAAATTAAAATGCAAAATACACTAAAAAAAAAAAAACACAAAACAAGTCCCACACACTTCCTTATGCTTCCTTTATAAGTCCAGTACTAGCTCTGTGGATGACCTCTACTTAGCCCAACCTGAGCATCAGCAAGTATTTTCTATAAGGGGCTATGAAGTCAAAAGTTGAAGGGCCACATGGTCTGCTACAACCATCCAACCCTGCCCTGGTTCTTGGCAGAAGCTGGTGACAATGTGTAAATGGGTGCGCATGGCTGCGCTCCAAAGAAACTTGAATTTCAAGTTTTTGAATTTCAAGTTGAATTTCAGAAACAATGAAATTTAAATTTCATATGATTTTCATGTGTCATAAAATCTTATTCTTGTGATTTTTTTTTTCCCAACCATTTTAAATGTAGAAATGATTCTCAGTTTGTGGGCAATACAAAAACAAGCATCCAGCCAAATGTGGCCGTTAGGCCATAAATAGCATTGGCAGTACATGTTGACTGGTAATTATAATAAAACTGGAATTTTTTTCAACAGTGTAGAAGAAATAGATACAATTAACTGTGAAGTCATTCTGAAATTCGCAACAGTGCAGCTAAGCTATCAGGTCTTACTTTTCTAAGTTTAACCAACTATAATACAGAAGAATGCTTCCTTAGAGACATAAAAAGCCACAATAACCATTAATTTCCTCTATAAACATTTCCTGAGCTACCATAAGATACTATACACCGTGCTGGTTCCAGGGGAATGGAAATGAAAAGGAAATTCTCCTTGCCTTCAAGGAACTCAGAATCCAGTAGGCAGTAAGACACATAAGCAGTAAGACACATAAGCAAGTACGTTAAGTAAAATATGCTGAGAGACCTGCGCTGTGGAAACACAAAGGAATGGCCCTTCGCCACCTATCAGGATAGCTGGGTCAGAGGAGCTGAAGAAAGAAGGTGAGACAAGCATTACCATCAGCAGGAACAAAGTGAACCAAGGTTAACCATTAAACATCGGGCATCTGTGGCCAAAATAGGTGTCTGAAAGATAGAAGGGTCATAATCTAAGAACTGATGAAGAGATAAAGTGGATTTTTCCAGTCCAGACCCATTCTGGAAACTATTCCAGGGATAGCAGCAAAAAGAGCAGCAAAAATGGCCGCTGCAGGCTCCTCCTATCATGCTCTTCTGCGTCTTTTTGTGTACTTGTCCTCAGTCTCAGAGAATGACTAGAGAACCAGCCTGTATTCCACACAACTGTAAACAGCAAGGAGATGACGCCTGAGTCTGGACTGATGGTTCTCCTACCTGATAGGGTCATTATCTGGGTTTCCATTTTGCCTTAAAAATGATGCAACATCCCAGCTAAGTTAATATTCAGTATTATTCCTATGTCTTGTTTCTGTTGGGAAGCTACATGTAAGTACATCAGGTAGCTGCCCAGTTTTTTGAAAGGCACAGAAAATAATTAGTGTTGCCATAATCATTTTCTTTCTGGACAAAGAAAATGGTAGTCTGTAGAGATAGACTTAAGGAAAGTGCATGTTTGCTTCCAGAGTCAGAAAGCACTTGTGATGCAGTGGGGACAGATGAATCATAGCTGGGGAGATAAACAAGATTATACCACAGAATATCTTTCTTTGCAGCCTGTCTGGCACAACACCCCACCTAGCTTCCTGTCCTCCAGCCCCTACGAACGCCAGAAAGACCCACCAGGCCACCGTCTCCACCCATGCCTCATCTTGCCCCTCCTCCTGGTCTCAGCTCCATCTCCTACCAGGCCCACCCCTTTCACACCTTCAGTGCCTCTCTGCTAACTCTTGTAACTACGCCGGCACAGCCTGACCATACTCTCCGTGGAGGGTGAGGGCGCCAGTGTTATGTCAGCTCACTTTTACCCCCAGTGCCTGACACACAGCAGGCCCTCAATAACTACTCATGCACTGGAGGGAAAATATGAATCATTCAAACAGCAATTAACAAATATTTGTGGAACACATTCTGTGCTAAGTACTAAGGATGCAATGGTGAAAAAGATATATATTATATACATATTGTACTTAAAATTGTGTGTGTATTTTAAGGTACCTGGTTACGGTATAGGAAAGTGACGGGTTTGTGAAAGAATGAATTGACATATTTCTTCCCAGAAACAGGAAGATAAAACTGGATGGATTTCCATGGATGTCCATAATTAGCAACTGTTTTGACTAATGTTAATAGGCTGTGGCTGAAGATAAATATGGTCATTTGTGTGTGTGGACATCTAACAGCTCAGTGAACAGCTGACCACGGCTTGCTTTCAGGGGGACATTCTGAAGCACCACGCGTAGAACCTAACACTTACACAAATACCACCACAGGATGACCTCACCAGAGAAGAGAGAGTCACCCTACAAGCCACAAAGCAAGGTCACTGGTGCTTCCACGGCCCAGCTGAAGGGTTCACCAACACAGTCCCTGGAGACCACCCAGCTCCCATCACCAAGCAGAGTACCTGGGCACTAACTCATCCTTTAGGACAGAGCCTAAGAACCACACTGTATATCCAGGGAGTGAATGAGCGAGAAACGAGAGCCATTTGGCTGTGTGTGTGTGTGTGTGTGTGTGTTGTGCAACTCCCAGTATTTCCTTCTATTGTTTCTGCTAGACAAAGAAAAGGCACAAATGAAGCATGAGCCGGCTGTAGTGCTGCACAACTATAAATATCCCAGCTACTCCCAGTGTCTTAATTACTTTTCTCATTGCTGAGACAAAATATCCAACACCATAAGTTACAGAAGAAAAAGTTTACTTCAGCTCACAGTTTATAGAGATGTCAGTCCATAGTTAGCTGGCTCCAAGGCACAGTGGCACAGCAGAGAGGCACTGCAGAGGAGAAACAGTCCATGGCAAAGCAGGGCAGGCGGAAGGCAGCGAGCAGCCAAGTCAGCCTTGTATTCCATCCAGACCACCCGCCCTTTGGGCAGTGTCACCCACAGCCAGGGTGGGACACCCTTAAACCAGCATCATACCCTAGTCCTAGCATCACACACTTTATCCCAGCATCACACACCCTAGTTCTAGCCACCTCTGAAGAGCCCCACCTATGACCACATGGGGTTTTAGGGGTACATAACTCCTAGGTACTCAGAAGGCTGAGGGGGGCGGATTGCAAGTTCAAGGCCAGCCTGGGCAGCTTAGAGACCTCTCTACCTTGTCTCCAAAAACAACAAAAACAAAAAGAAAATGTACAGTGTGGGTCTCTTCTGGTCTTAAATCATTCTTTATTTTGGTACACTTAGTTTTTTCCTAAGTGATTGATAACCAAGGATTATAAGTACCACTAGCAAGGTCACTGTGTTGGTTTCTGGCTGTATTTACATCTCTTCATTGTTCCTTTAATTTGTCTTTATACTTTTAATTCACTGCCTACTTTTTCTTAGATTATGTGCATTTCCAGGTAGGCAACTGAGGATATTCAAAACCAAACAGAACCTTGATTAATGGATTCCAACAACATAGAAGACACAATATGCTATTTTGTTATATTTTCCAGTTTGATAAAAATCAAACACACACACACACACACACACACACACACACACCATTAGAAAGCTATTCTGCTGAAGAAGGTGCCCACAGTTGCACCAGGAAGTCGCTGTTTTAGCTGCCTGTCTTTTTCAGCTGAACTTGACCCTGGAGCTGCCTGAAACCTCCTGTATAGCCGGGTCAGCCCCCTGCCAAGGGA